CCTCTGCCTCTGCCTCTGCCTCTGCCTCTGCCTCTGCCTCTGCCTCTGCCTCTGCCTCTGCCTCTGCCTCTGCCTCTGCCTCTGCCTCTGCCTCTGCCTCCCCTGTGCTGGGGTTAAAGACATATGCCTTTATATCCAGCTACAAAATAATATTTTTAAAAGTAAAAGAGGGCTAGGGATAAACTCAGTGGCAAAGCCCTTGCTTAGTGTATTCAAGGCCCTGGGTTCAATCCTACCGCTTAAAAATAGACTCTCATGTGTCCTCCTTCAGTACCTAGCAATGACTTTCAGGAAGAAGGTACCCCACGACTGAATGAATGTCAACTATGATACATTTCATGTAAGTAGCTTATCTGCTTTCAGTTCACAAAGCCACAGCAATATTTGATCCCTCTAAACACCTTGTGAGGCAGATAAGTGAGAATTCTTTGTTTAATTTCATAAGGAGATAAATAAGGAAACAGAAGGGAAGTTGATTGGGTCAAGGTCAAAGTCTGTAACCCAGGGAGCCACACTTGTGCTGGGCCCTCCCAACTGATGTCACCCTGTAGTCTCTTGGCCTCACCTTCCTCTTTGAACCAACAGGAGCTGCTGCAGAGTGGCCTCGTGCAGCCAACCTCTGCAGTCAAGTCAGTGAGAGCTAGAGCAGGAAAGGCCAGACCAAGCTAGGCCAAGAATTTCCCTCCGTTTCTACCTCATGGTGGTTCCTTCACACATGACATTTTTTTTAGACTCGTAAGGTTTATTTTTTTTTTTATGTTTATGAATGATTTACCTGCATGTATGTATGTATATGCACCATGTTCATGCTTGGTGCCCTTAGAGATCAGAAGGTGGCATTGGATAGTCTGGAACCAGAGTTATAGATGGTTGTGAGCCACCATGTGGGTGCTAGGAATCAAACCTGGGTGCTTCTGTAAGAGAAACAAGTGCTTCTGTGCAGTGAACCCTCTCTCCTGCCCTACCATGAGTTTTCTAATGCTTGCCATGTGCGCTCTATTCTACAACACTTGTCCTTCTTGACGCACAGATCTTCTGACCAGATCTTTTTCTTTTTTTCTTTCTTTCTTTCTTTCTTTCTTTCTTTCTTTCTTTCTCTCTCTCTCTCTCTCTCTCTCTCTCTCTCTCTCTTTTCTTTTCATTTCTCCTTGTTTGCGTGCTTTCTGCTTCAGGAAGTACACCTTTTGTTTATTTGTTCATCTGCTTCTTTGTTTATTCTTTATTATTTTCTCATACATTACATTTTGACCACAGTTTCCCTTCTTTCCACT